GGTGGCACCTTTGTGTTTAATGGTCCTCATTGGATTTTTTCTTTCATAAATTTGCCCTGTCTCTTGAAGCTGGACATATTTTTAGCATCCACATCCTCTGGGAAGGAATTCCTCAGCTGAAACATGCAGCAAGAAAAAAGTACAGTCATGTGTTTGTTTCTGAACCTGCTGCTATTTTCAATCTGATGTTCCTTTGTTCAATACCCCTTCCAAAACAGGATCCATTCATTATAACCCACACTCCCAATGAAAGTCACTTATGATTCTGGTGCTCTCTGTTGTGCTGAAGGTAGCTTCAGTTACTGCTTTTCCAGGCCAAAGGTCTCAGTCTGTATTGTTTTTTTATATGGTGGCCATTCCATACCTGCGGTCGTCCTTACCAATTTTCTCTGTACCCATTCTGTTTCAACTGTTTCTGAGACAAGGGATCAGTATTTCACCTGCTTTTCAGAATGCTGAAGTCATGGTTTTACACAATGGTGTAATAACTCTTTTGTGTCGGCCTGCGTTCCGAATCATTGCTAATAATGGTGTTTCCCTTTCTGACTATTACTGAAAGTTTTGCCAAAAACTCTATGAAACCCCAGGGACTTACTCCTCAGCAGTAATGGTTTAGGTTGAGAGTCTGGCTTCTGCATGCGAACTGGAATTGCTTCCTGTTTATCGACATGGGGTTTCACTGGCCATCTCATTGACTTAGGATTCTGAAGCCCTGCGGCTCTTTGTTCTTAACCCTCTTCTTTATGTTTCTGAATAACTTAGTGTTGTCAGCAAACTGTCTATCCACCCTACTTCCTAGATAATTCATGAATCCACGAGGCAGCACAGAGCCAGCACAGGATACCTCCCATTGTTGGGTTGGTGTTTTGTTTCGGTTTGTTTTTTTAAAAGGAGGTGGGGGGTGGGAAAACTGTCTATCCTTGCACTTTGTTTGCTAGATTTTAATGGTAAGTTGTGTATGGAAACCTTCCTGTATTACATTCTGAATACTTTTTTTGATACGGAGTTTAAAAGACAGAGCTGAAAATCAAGGTACTAATCTTTGCTTATGGTCATCCATTGAATATACCTCCAGGTAAGTAAAATCTTACACTCCCTGGAAAAGTTAACATCCTGTGATGCAACAGTGCGGCATATTTGCTTTTCTGTAGCAGTTCCATTTGATTTATGTTATTTTTTAAACTAATTTAAATGTAATAGGAAAGCTATATAATATCACAGCAGTTTAGGAAGCTTAAATGCTGGAGCAGGTTCTGCAAATTTAGAGCTACAAATATAGTGGCCTTGGGCAAGATCTGGCTTTCGTTATATGGCCTCAGTTCAGTCCATATTTACAGGTTTGTTAATCTGACTGTGATATACTTTTTGTTCCCTAACCAACTGTAGCAACCATACTTAAAATTCTGCATTGCTCACCCTAACTGGTTTCATGACAGCTGTGGCAATTAATCTCTGACTGCAATTTTTGGTGTTTTTTTCTGGTTTTGTTTGTTTGTGTGTGTGTTTGGGTTTTGGTTTTTTTTTTAGGTCGGTCTCCTTTGAGGGTGCCTGGACACAGGCCTACAGACTGGGAGAAAAGATTTTTGCTGTGGGCAGGCAATTTCAAAAAACCAGAGGACATACCAGAGACTGTCTCGTAAGTGCCAGTTTTGAAGCTGTAAGAGAGACATTGTCTACGCAGGAATAAGTTACTCAAATGCAACCCCAGAGTAACTCTTCTTAAGTGGAATTGGTTTTTACAGCTGGAAAAATCTTACACTGCTGTGTTTGGTGTATCGTCTTGCAGATGAGATGACGTGAGCAATTCTGTATTGCTGAGATAATACATCATCTCTTTCGTTTGGGGGGGGGGGTGGTTTGTTGGTTTTGTTGGTTTTTTTTTCTGAAGGGATGACCAGCATCTATCAGTTTTTTCATTAGAAAAACATCACAAATCAGTTTTTACTCTTCTCTCCCAATCAGAAAAGATTTTTAGAAATATTACTGTGAGCTTTTTCCAGTGTTTTTCTTTATATGTCAGTCTCCTATTGTGTGAAACTTTCATGATACAGCTATATAATAATTGAAATGCATTTAAAATATTTATTAATGAATAACTGGAGGGCATGGGCCAGCTTTCCAACTCTTGGAATTTAAATTAACAAATAGTAGAAAGGGTCCCTAACAAAAAACATATAGTAAAAATTTCCTTGTTGCTGGTGGGAGTCCAAACGTCAATGCTTTGCCCAGTGTGAAAAGTAGAAAATAAATCCTGATGTTCTAGTTTGCCTATCTAAAATGAAGATCAAACTTAACAACAAAAGGCAATTACTAGTTTAAAAAACATTCCTGGTGGTAGTGTGGTTATCTTTTAAAACATGCTTGCAATGCTTTTAAATATATGTATTTATTTAAATTAAAAAGATACAGTAAATCTTGTACTACTTCAGTAATCTATGTAGCTGCCCTCTAAAGATACTCTGTTTGTTTGGATGCACCATGCGGGAGTTGGAAATCCACCCATGTATCTTAAGGTTTTTCTAACTGTATCACAATAGATATTGTTAAAAATTAATTCTTCAATTTTGTATTTAATCATTTTTCTTAAAATTACATTTGAAATACATAAAGGCATAAATTATTAAAACTTACTAAATTATGTCAGTTCACATATTTTTGCATACCAAGCACTTGTTACGAGTGTTTTTAAGAAAACAGAGTTAGCAGAGTGGTTGAAGTCATTTCAATGGTTTATTGAAAGGAGAAACCAACTTCTGATAAAAGCTGACCATTTTTGCAAGTGCATAGGGAATTCTTGTTTTTATTTAGGCAAATAGTTCAGCCAAAGCTGGGAAGATTGAGAACTATAAAAGCACAAAAGCTTGTTTTCCTGTTCTAAGCTGAAATAAGAGTGGGTTGTAAGAGCTTGTGGTGTAACTCAGTAATCTTGCAAGATGTGGTGATCAGAAGTAACTAATTTATTAAAAAAATGTTAATCTTGGCCACTGAATCGATTTAAAATGCAAATTGCATTCAGATAACTACCTTTTCCTCTTGTGTATTCTAACACATCCAAGGTACTTCCAAAGTTAACTAATAAGTTTTAAAATCCTACATCTGTGCATTTCAGCTTAATTGCAGCCTGCACCCAAGTTGTTCATCGCAGTTTATTAGCAAAAAAAGAAATAACCTGGAAGCAAAATTTAACTACTAGTTTAGTTACTGGTAGATGGACATGTTCCCTATGATCAGACCTCTTGTACTCAGATCAATACTCTGAAATAGTGATCAAATCGCTCTTGCCCTCCTCTTCAAAAACAAGAACAAAACTCTACAGTTCTCAGGTCCTATGTGATTTACAGTGTTGAACTACTGTGGATCCTTCGGTGTCTTTTTTCCTCCAAGTATACGGGTCAAAATGTGGTAAAAGATTCCATGTTCGTTCATGTTTGTGTACAGTGATAATTTCCCAGTTCCATTAAATTCACTATCCATGTTAGTTTTGGGGTGTAATTGTTTGGTTTGATGCATTTTTTCTTTCATCATGTGACATGAAGGCTCTTCTAGTCCTCTGTAATTTTGTAATATGCTGAATTTAATCAGTTTAATCTCCTTGAGAAGGGAGTCAGCTGCTCTTAAATTCTGCAAGAAGAGTTAAATATATAGGGTATGGGGTTTTGTTTACTGTGGAAAGCACATCTAAAAGCATTATGTTTCATTGGCCCTTCTTGCATTGGTATCTCTAATATGAACTTTAAATTTGCTGTAACTGAGATGTCATTTGGGTAGAATGATCTTCAGAGTTTAACCCAACTTAAAATAAATGACTTTTTGTTTTAACTCATCATATGTACAGGTGGAAGGATACAGTGACAGTCGTCTTGTGGAAGATTTCTGGGTTTTAAAAGATAACAGTAGACTAGGCAGCAGGTTTCCCAAAGGAGTGGTATAGCTACTGGTGTGGCTAGATAAGCCCCTGAAATAAAAAATAAAGTAAAATGATTTAAAGGAGTCCTCTGCCCAAAGCTGATGTTGGAAAGCTTACAAGCATCCATGCCTCCTTAGTGTCTTAGGAAAACAGATTACGTTAAGACTAACGATTTACTCTAGCCGGGAGGGAAGTGGTAATCGTGGGACTTTTACCAAGTTCTATTCAGAATTTCTGAGGAGTATTACATTCAGGAGCCAGTGTGTAATCTATAGTGCTATCAAATCTTGTAATAGAGGATTATTTGTAAATGCATCCCTCTCCTTTTCTTACTCTCCCCTTAGTGAACGTACATATTTAAATACTGCAGCCTTCCTCTCTGTGTTGCAGTCAAGTAGTCCAGAAAGGCAGCATTGTCTCTTAACAATTAAATAACGGAAAGTTAAAAATGTTTGGTTTGTTTCCAACTTTGAGAGGAACTCCTTTGTAACCAAGTACCTCCCAAGGTAGCTGGGGATGAGCCTTTCCCCTTCTTGTAAAACCTTTTTGTGAAAAGAGCCAAGTACAGTTAGCATTATAGCAGATTACATAGATAGCATGCCAGGAGAAATCAAACAGTTAGCCAAATGTTTTATTTGGGTCTCTGATAATGAGTCTGTTCTTTTATTATCATTTCTTGAGGATTGAAACAATCAGAGCAGCAAAGACCACACTGCGTGTGAAGTTCAGCTATGTAATGATTGCCTTGACGATACTGGGATGTATAGTCATGGTGATTAAAGGGAAGCAGGTAAGCACAGAGTTTTGGCTGGTGAGTGCAAATCAATCTTCAGATAAACTCCTCAATTTCTCCTATGGATTGTTAGTACTGTTTTGCTTTGTTTGTTTTTTTCATTTTATCACTGAGCAAAAATTAAAAAGAAGTCCTCCTAGTTCCCCAGAAGTGACCCTCATTGATTAATTTCCAAGCTGGAAAAGGGTGATGTCACTGTTACAACTACATATGCTTCATTTAAAAAAAAAAAAAAAAAAAAAAGTCTTTTTTTTCCCAGTGCAATACTTAATTTTAGCTTCCACCACTTTTAGTTTTTCTGATGGACTGTGAGAGTTTGAAAGAGAGTTTGAACCTTCTGTTGCGAGGATCGGGTAGGCAGGTAAATGCTCCTTGAGCCAGTGGGGTCCATACAGTTCACTATAAATAGCAAAGGAATCTGTTTCTCTACAGACAGACTTGAGAAAAAAGTCTTTTTGAACAGCGGGGAGATGGTCAGTAGAAACTGTTGTCTTTAATTGTATTAGAAAATAGCCTTCCTTAAGTGTGGATGGAAGAACTTTTTATCAAATTATTACTGTTGTTTGAATCCAAAAACTAATTCATAGAAAAGCTCCTGAGTCCTGTAGATGCCGAGTATCCTTCACTTGCATAGAATTTGGCAAGGTATCAGAGCTAAGTTCAGCTTATGGTAGAACTAGCTCAATGATTTAATTTGCATCACATGAAGTGAGGAAGTGTGAAGTTTTAAGATTCCAAGTGCCTTAACCGTATTTTAACAGTTGGTGAACTATTAACTTTGTGATATTTCTGTAAAGAAGCAAAGGAGTGCCTTTTGTGTACTGAAGCCAAGCTAAAGCGTCTCAGCAGCATTAGTCTCAAAGTCCAGGAATGCAAATATAATCTCTGCATCTTACTGTCATGTTGCTTTTGATAAAAATCACAGTGGTAACAGAAACACAGTCCACTACATTCTTTAAAGGATGACTGGAAGCAGAAACCCCTGAGGTTAAAGCATCTATATGGGGAGAACTGTACTTGTATGCTGCCTTTCTCTGAAGCAGTTCTGATGACAATGTTCAGATCTTGTTTCTAAACCTTAAAACTAGTAACAGAGTCTCAACCCCAGCACCACGAACCGTTGAAGGGTCAAGTGACATTTCTGCTTGTCAGCATTCCCCTATCAAAATGATGCTGCACTCTGAAACAAAACAGTGGAAAGGTTTTTCCCTGGCTTTAGCAGAAGAGATCAAACACTGGCAATTCCCAGAGCATTTTCCTCTTACATTGGAGCAGTATGAATGCAAACACCAGAAAGAGAGGAGGACAGCTGCTTTGGGACCCTTGTTTTCACAGCAGCTGGAATCTGTTATGTTTAAATTCTGATTTGTTTCAAGTACCTCTGACTTCTAAAGACCAGAGATTAGTGTTAAATACTGACTAGAAGCACAAAATACATCTGCTTGTGCCATAACAAAAAGGTTTAATTTATTCCCAGAGAAGTAATGAGTTTAAGCCAAAATAGTCTATGGGTGTTTTATTTTAACCCTCTGTCCTCCTGGCATTAAAGCTGACAGAATTGTGCCTTGGTAAGGATAGGCCAGCTATTTTGTAAACTGTTGATTCAAGTTTCATCTCTGTGGTACCCTAGGTGATGCTCTCTCCTCTTGCTTTATCATTATGCTGTAGGCTATAAAAAGGCATGAATCTCTTACAAGCATGAACTTGGAGAAGAAAGCTCAATGGAGAGAGGAAGCTACTCAGAGTACATCTGCTAAACCTTAGAGGAGGAAACGAAGAGACCAAGGTCTGGGGAAGAAAAGCTGATGTCCTTTTCAGCACTGAAAGGAGGATAGAGTCACATCTTCCCTGTATGTTAGTTCTGTACTCTCATGTTCAAGAAAGAATGAATACATTATCCTGTAATCATTAAAACCAGAAATACCTACTTGCTTTTCCCAACAACCTCTCCTTTCCTCCAAACTGTCGTCTTCACAGTTAGTGAAACAGGACAAGTGAGTAAACTCTGTAGATGGAATAGTTGTTTCCCACATGTGCTATGCACAAGACTAAGCATCCTTCAAAAGACTGTAGGAGCTGTACCTGCCTTCGTGGTCCTAATGTCCACTATGAAGTCTTACGCTCGCTCTTACCACTTACAAGAAGATAACCGGGATGCAAAAGGACAGCCCGTTCGTTTTCCACTTGTACAAACAAAATACCTTTACTGGGCAGTCACTTGCTGTCACTGACTTTTACAGGTCCCTTCAGGAAGAATGGTGCTGTATGTATTCTACGTTGTTACAGGCTGCCTAAAATATTCTGTATGTTCCTCTTTGTGTAAGGGGAGTCCTTGAGTCAGGAATAATTGTATGACCTGCATAAACACCATCAAAATGATCATAAGTTATTAGAAAATCTGCTTACCTGTTTGAGGTCCAATATATTCTGGCTGCATTTGTTTAAGTACGCGAAGGATTACTTTTGGGGAAGAATTGCCTGCCTTTGATTAAGAACAAAAGGGGGAGTGATAGTGAAATGGCATTCCAGAGAACCAGTGTGTTGCAGATGGCAGCCTAATGTTTTTTACACCAGCCAGAGCTGGTAGTTAGACGAATGTCCAGGCCACAGGAATAGAGACAAGTATTTCAAGGAATACTGAGCAACGGCTTCAACGTTATGTTATCAGATTTACTATTTAGAGGCACATGAGTATGACCGAGTCAATCGGGTATTCCTGTTCTCTGCTGCTGAGCTCTTTTTCTCCCAAACCTCATTTGGATTTGCATTTTCCCCCTTTAAATTGTCATCTGTACTTTCCTGATACTAGCTCACTGAAAAATCACCTGCCTCTAGTTTTAGAAGCAGACCCAGTAATACCTGCAAAGAGCAACTCCCAACAGTCCCATTTCCGGCATTCATCCCAGAAGAGTCACGTACTGTTCGTGCTGAGCAGCCTGCTGCAACTGGAGACCAGTATTTTTCCTCCTCTTTTCAGTTTGTTTGGAAGGAAACATAGATTGGGACTGTCAGGACTGTTTGAAACTGTTACTTCGCAGGACTGCCTCCTACCTGGCCACTGGGGACACCACAAACAAGAGGCAGACGTTTGACAGATTTAGTTTGTTAACTTCCTGATAGCGGGAGGCTGATTTTTTGTTTTTAAGCTTTTTCCTGGTTATTTTTCTCATACTACTAAAAATTAGTGCTATTGCTGAAAAAAAATTGAAAGGCCTACAAAAAATGCAAGGTAAATCTTGTCTTTATACCTGGAAAAGAAAAGCGGTACGATATCAAGTGCAGTCTTCTCTAGTACTTTGACCTTTCCTCCAGAGCTAGAAAACAACTGCTGCAGTCCACCTTTTTATGAATTGCATTTCTGGGCACTGCTTGTATTGATGAGAGGTAACCAACCAAAATCCACCCCAGAAGCTATAAACTTCAGACGATGCCACAACCTGTTACCAGATTATCTATAAGGCCATTACCACAAGCATGCTGTCAGTCAAACAGAGCAGGCTTCCACAGATTTGTCCATTCGTTTAGCACTGAATGCAAGGCGTGCTTAATTCCACTGCAGGTACGCGGACAGATCTTTCATGACAGCTCTGGTTCTTTGCCACACTGGTAAGCACACAGGTGGGAACCAAAAAAAAATCTTCCCAGATTGTGTGCCTGTGCTAATTTAAGTATTAAATGAGACCAAAAAGAGGAACATGCACTTCAGACAGTTATTTCTGGCTACCATGAAGAGAAACTTGTTTTGATTTACACTTTGTGATGGCAGAGCTTAAAACCATGCATCTCTCAAAAAATATCCCCCTTTCACAATAAGCACCTCTGAGTGCACTCTGTGAACAGAACTGGCAGGTACCACATCTAGTTTTGGAAATAAAACTACTTGGACTCATCCAGCTGGTAAAGCATTTCAATTAAAAATCTGTAAAACAACATTTAGAAAGCAATGAGTCACCAGTTTTTCATTTTACTTAAATTTCTGTAATTTTTTTTGTTTATTCAAAAGTTGAACCCTTGTCCAGTGGTTTGACAGATGCTCCATGTAAAAGTCCTTCTTTCTCTTACTCTGGTACCTCCACCATTTCAGCATCTACCACAAAACCTGTGCATCACTGTGCACATTTGTGCTTGCTTTCAGCTTCCACATCAGTTCTAGAGTTTGAAATAAGACCCTGAGCCACTGGGCTTTGTGCTGTCTCCAGCTTGCTCCCAAACATTTGCAAGTAGTTGGGTCCTAGAAAAATGATATAAATCTGTCTCAGGGAGGCAATGAAAGAAACCACCTCTTTCCTAGTGTGACGGCTTCCAAGAAAGCACTTTTAAACACAAAAACCAGCACACATTTCTGGCCTAAGCAGCCAGTCTTGCCAACTGGAGAACTTAATACACCTATTATCACCTGATTAGCTTGTAGCTTTAGCCTACACCCTTTTAACAGTGCCTGATGGAGAAGAACATACTAAGCCCTTAGAGCAGTTTTTAGTTTTCTTTCTCCCCTTTGGCTTGGCCTGTACCACCATTCGCATTTGTTCAAAAAAGGTATTATCAATCCCAGACCACATGCTGTATTTCTGTACCTTTTCCAGAGGCAACAAGTGCTTCCCAGTGCAATGATCAATCTGACAGCTTGCACACCACCTCAAAAGAGCAAGCAAGAGCCCCATGGACATGGACATAGCAGTAGATTAAGAAGTTCTGTTTATTTTCCTACTAAGACTCGGGCACCTGATGAAAACCCTTCATGTCTACTGGCTAAAATTGGCATGGGAAGGTTCTAATGATGTGTTGTAGCAATCCCAGAAGCAAAGAAATCATACAAGACATGGGGAATTACTTAAAGCTGGCACAGAGGTAAAATAGCTGTTCTGGAAATCCTCAGGGAAGCACAGAGGTGCATCACCAGGAGCAATGTCACATTTAGGAATGGGTGGTGGTTCTTAACAGTCTCAATGCTGATAGTTACAGAAATGCAGGTTCAAGAACATGTAGGTTTTCCAGGGTCAGTGCCTTCCTCCCTTCCCTTAAGACTAAGTGAAGGGACTTTGACCACCAGTAGTTGGTTGGCATCAAGGAACCAACATAGGAATTTAAGAACTGACAGCAGTTCCCTCAAATGATTGATTGCGTGTGTGCTGTCTTCCCAGGAGTCCCAAGCACTGCTCCTGGCATAGCTGGTGAGCTTTCAATAACCTTCCGCCCCATCATCTGTTGCATCCTTCTGAATCCAAGAGTGACCCTGCCTGCCATGTTCCACCAGGAACTTTACCAATAGAAAGAACAATAGCTCCTGTTTGCTGCCTCAACAAATATGCAACACTTAAAAGACCTGTGTCTGTGGAGAGGATGGCTAGGTAACAATCCCTGGTAGCCCTGCATCTTCCTTCCTCTAATGTCCAGTTTAAAATTAGACATTGATAAAACCTTAGTGTAGTAGTTTCACCTCATAACTGATGCTGCAAAAAGAACTCAGAGACTCCTCATTCTCATTAATCTTTCCATCTTACCAGCTTGCGGGGCTTTTGGAAGGTGCTTAGATTTGGTCTCCACACACAGACAGGAACAAATGCATTAGAATTTCAACTTTCAGGATAAGAGAAGAAGAAAATACGTGAGGTCACTCTTCTGGCACTACACACTGCACAGCAGAACTAAGAGAAGAACCCAAGAACCCCAACAGCTCCCCGGCCTATCCTCTACACGAGACCATGCTGCCTCCTACTGAGACACAAACCAAGAACAGATCATTCAAAACACAGTATGACCTTTAGAAAAGTGGAAGCTAGAGGCGTTCTCTGAGATAGTTCCAAAGCAGAGAATACTGGTTTCAGTGTTTCTAGTGGGAGACATATCCCTTGTTACTCTCAGGTCAGTCTAAAAAAGTGCCTTGTTTCTCAGCTGAATGGAACTTGGAACCTTTTTACAGTCATTGCCGTTCCCAATTTTTTAGCATCCCTTTTTAACAGCTGATAGCAACACTGAGAGTGTTCCTGTAAAAAAGTTTCACCAATGCCAAATATAAAGTTAATATAAATTCCCCATTTCTAATACGGATTTCTTTTTGTGCCTGTGAGCATTGCACTAGCCACACAGAATCATGTTAGGAAGTAGTGTTCAAGCGGTAACGCATAACGATCCTCAGGCTCTTTCAACAGCACTTTTCCTCCAAAAGAGAGTCCTTCACCTGTGGCCTGAATGTTATTTATTAGATGGGTAATGTTACACTACACATTTGGCTCTATTCAAATGCAAGTAGTTTACTTGCCCTTGGCTTACCAAGTAATTCTGATCAGTCTGTATCAGAGAGCTGTTCCTTTCATAATTCACAAGTCTGATCTCCCTTCCATACTCATATAATTTGCAGCCTTTGTTAGAAGTAGATTTTGTTTCCTTCCAATCTATCAGTAAGGCTAAGTAAAGCAAGGCCAAGAACTGGTTGCTGGAAGATCCTGATGGAAATACACTCAGTAAAGCACCATTTAAAATTAAATTGAGACCTATGAGTTAGCCACATTATAATCCATTTAATGTGTGCCACATTGCTTTTTGTATTGTTTTAGCTTTCAGTGAAAATATTATGCAGTACCAGTCAAATGCCTTACATGGCCTAAGTATATATGACAATAATATTACCTGTGTCAACCAGGCCTGTCACTTCAAACAAACATACCAAGTTTAAAGATTTATACTTATCTGCTCTGAATTCACATATCCACGGCAAAAGTAACAAACACTGGCCAGGCTCCTTACACAGGAAGGCACACCATTCAGCTTAAATGGACTCTTTTTTTAATTCACTCATTTAGAGGCAATTGTCATTATTTTCTTGGGGGCCAGGGGAGGGAAACGCCAATGCACCACATTGTTTTCACTAGCCTGGAAGAGAAAACACTTATATATATATAGATATATAGATATATAGAGATATATATATACACACACACATAGGTATGTGTGTGTATATATACGTGTGTGTGTATATATGTATATATACACACTAGTGTATATATACACAGAATATACATATATGAATATACAGAATATATGCACACACACTTTGCTCAGATTTGTTTACAAAATATGTAGCATTTTTATACCATCCAATAAGAGGTACATGATTTTAAACAAATCTTATAGAAATGACATGTTATTGGAAATTTACACGTAAAAAAATCCAGCACAAAAAAATCCAAAAGCTAAAACAAGATTTTGCTACTAATCAGTGCTTCTATCACCCTTCAAGAAAAGAGAAACACAGTTATTTATATGTGATGTAAAGGCAACATTGAGGGGTTTTTTTTGCTTTTTTTCAAATTAACCACCAAATTTAACCCCCTAAAATTACAAAGAATCGAAGTCCATTTACAGATCAAGTGCAGTAAACTAAATGTTCCTTCAGCACAAAGCAGCACTAGAGAAAATAACCAGGAGAGGGAAGGTGGAGGCCAACTGGCTTAGCTAGGGAGGCAGCAGGTGGCTTCTGCAGTGGCCACACAGGTCAGAGTCTCCATCCTGAAGCACAGACAGAACTGAAGACTGTATTTAAATAATGGTCACACAGAGCTGATGTTCAGGCCTTTGCCTAGCTTCTTTCAGCAGTTTGACAAGTGACTTATGTATTTTTATTATTCTGTATCCAATGGGCTCTTTTTGCTTTTGCAGTGGCTTGTCACTGAGAGGAGTCACAAGGAGGATCTTGCAGGCAGTTCTGCCACTAACGTTTACCACAGGTACAGGACACTGCAGTTGTCAGTGGCGATTTTGAAATGTTTACACTGGACAAATTTGTGTTCCAAGCATCCAAAATGGCTTGAAAGAACATACGATGCAGGGCGGGGAGCGGACGGCCTGGAAATCCATTGTGTTTACAGAAATGGAACTGCCACTTAGAATCACGTGGCATCTCCCCGGTTGCGTGAAGAGTTTGGTGTCAATGTCAGCTGAACTCAGTGAGGAGTGGCTGGCCTTTGCATCAGATGTCTGTGATCCAAGCAGGTTGCGGAGCCAAGAACATGCTGCTAGCAGAAGGGCAGTCTACAGCTGCGGACGACAGCTGTCATGCAGTCAGCGATGCCTTACGGATGTCACCTGTAGGAACCATGCGTTCCATGCTAATTCACCTGAAGTCCCGTAAACAGCAAAAGGAAAAAATGAAATGAAAGGGCCAGGTGGATCCGGGTGTAATATTACTATCCTTTGAATGTAGTGTCATTTTAGTTGTTAAATAAGGGGCTTGACCATGAGGATTCTTATTTTATCAGGTGAGCTGCAGAGGAAGCTCTTGTCTTGTGAAAATGAAAAGGAGATCTAACGCTCCTTGTGCCAAGTTTTACAAATTAAGATTTCTGTATTCAGAAGGTAATTTTTCAGAAGATAAATCTGTTCAAGTCACGCTGTGTAAAAATGTAAAGAGGCAGACAGGTATTTTTCAGCCGTAACTATAATACCAAGGACCAGACTCCAGAGCATGAAGTCAGGAAGGGCTTGATTTTTAAGGAAGGCCCGGCTGGATCATGCTGCTCTGGCAAGTGGAAGTGGGGGTAATTTCTCCATTCTAGAAGCTGGTTTGGAAAGTCATTTCTGGGGAGGTGGTAAGAGTAACCTATTCACAGGCTCTTTTTCTGTGGATGGAGAGGAAAGAC